TACTCTGGGAGTGTTGTCGCTGAAGCTGATGCTCCTGGTAATGCCAAAATCAAAGAGGTGGGCATCTTGAATGCGCGATTCCCCCCTGAAAAGAAATCAGCCGATCTTCCATCATTGGTGGTGTCTGATGCTGGCCCATACATCCAGAACTCCACTGGCTTTGCAGTTCCATGGTGAAAACACTTATGGTCATATTTTCCCTCAGAAACTTATGATCCCCAAACAAATCAACAGTTTGTCTAACTTTATCTACTTCAAGTGAGGTGACTCTTCAATTTGGATCTGTCCTTTGTGGGTGGGGCAAGGGAAAATTCCGTGAGAAGGGCCAGAAACCATGCGATGAGAATGAAATCGAATTTGTTGCTACAGCTGATATGGTGGTTCTCTTCGACAACAAGTGTTGCAACTTGTCCGAGATCTTGGATTCCGACAAATCATCCCAAACAGAAGGTGCAAGAGTTGCATATCACAAGGTTTCCCAAGATCCATCTGGGACATGGACCTTCAACCAGGATGGGTCTGATGTTGGGGTTTGCCACACTGTTCAATTATTGTTATCCCTTTTTTAGGCAAATAAAATTCTCTATGATGTCAATGTTTCTCATGATGTAATGAAAACATTTTTTTCTGGTGTAAAGTTGGCTAACCTACCCCCTTGTTAGGAGCACAGTGTCATCTTCACCCCGCAACCAGAAGATGATAGCGATGCGAAGATCAACCAGGCCCAGGTGGCAAAATTCACTTCGAAGAAGGCATGGGATTCATCGGTAACGACCATGGGATGGCATGTGAAGCGCACCCAGAAGGGGATTTCTCCAGTTCGCCCCATTGTGCTGTTGACTACAAATGTCACCCTTGAATCTGGTAAAGTCTTGGTTCTCCAGAATTGAGCCGGCTGCCGCTAGTGATCATTTTTTGAACAAATCTTGGACTATAGTTTGTGCCATACAAATGACTTTTCATAGGAAGTGTTGGCAAACTGTTTTGATGAATGCGGCTGTGGCCAAGCTCAATGAAATTTTGAGAAGTTATGTAGGATTGTGAGTTCCCTGCAGCCCCAGACTTTCTGTCAATCTACCCAAGGTAAAATCAACCAGTAGCATTTGGTCAATTGCTGGTATATTGTAGTGAACTTATCGGTGCTCAGGGAAGGAACCGAAGCGTCGGGAAGGAACTGACCAATCGAACCGAACAATTTGCTCGGCAGAAGCAATTGGCTTCCAAGGTTGCAACGATGAAAAAAAACACAGATCCCACAGGTACCAATAGCCATGATCATAGATCCTCTAATGGAAGCCTACAGCCATGATATGTTGCTTCAGATTCTTATTTTGGATCATCCTGATGCTGGATACCCTGAAAAAAAATTGTGGCTGTCTCACCCTGATGCCTGGAACACACCACCATGCGCCAAGGCCATTCCTTCAGGAGAAGTGCCACCAGGATGCTGTGCTGCCCTGGGTTGTGGGGCAAGACAAATCTGGCTAACGTGTTTTTATTTTAAGGGGTGTGTGCACACCTTAGTTCCTGGAACAAGTACCCACCTAGAACCATAAAGTGGGGATCCGTCAGCTGATAAACATAGCACATGAAGGGTGTATCAACAATTTTATTCATTAATTTCCAGAAACTACATTTAAAAAAAACATGTTGGTTAGGTGATATGTTGCCAAAAACCTGGGGGCCTAGAGGTATATACATATACACAGACTTTGATCTATTATATTATGTGTGCTTATTACAACAAAAAATGATATATATATAATCATATGTATATGTATATATATATATATTTAAATAACCATATGTATGTATATATATATATGTGTATCATCATAGTAATTAAATAAACCAACAAATAAATATATATATATATACCGAGCTGTGTGTAGGCGTTTTCTCATCACCTGTTGGATTGGTTAAAAATCTTGTAAACCTCAAATTACTTTACTTCGAGTTATCCCCACCATGACATCTATACGTTTTGTTGCTGGCAAATCTTCTGGCATTCTATCTGACATATCTTTTGGCATTTTATCTGGTATATCTTCTGGCATTCTATCTGGCATATCTTCTGGCATTCTACCTGGCATATCTTCTGCAATATGTTCTGGCATATCTTCTGGCACTCTATCTGGCATATCTTCTGGCATATCTTCTGACATTCTATCTGGCATTCTATCTCGCAAATCTTCTGGCATATGTTCTGGCAAACATTCTGGCACCTTATCTGGCATACGTTCTGGCATTCTATCTGACATTCTATCTGGCATACCTTCTGGCATTCTATCTGGCATATCTTCTGGCACTCTATCTGGCATATCTTCTGGCATTCTATCTGGCATACCTTCTGGCATTCTACCTGGCATATCTTCTGGCATATCTTCTGACATTCTATCTGGCATATCTTCTGGCATTCTACCTGACATATCTTCTGGCATATGTTCTGGCATATCTTCTGGCACTCTATCTGGCATTCTATCTGACATTCTATCTGGCATATCTTCTGGCATTCTATCTGGCATATCCTCTGGCATTCTATTTGGCAAACATTCTGGCACTTTATCTGGCATATCTTCTAACATTCGGTCTGACATCCTATCTGGCGTTCTATCTGGCATATCTTCTGGCATTCTCTCTGGCCGTTGAGGTCCAGCGGTGCTCACTGAGCTCGGAGGGTCCCAGGTTGAGGTCCAGCGGTGCTCACTGAGCTCGGAGAGTCCCAGGTTGAGGTCCAGCGGTGCTCACTGAGCTCGGACCGTCCCAGGTTGACGTCCAGCAGTGCTCACTGAGATCGGAAGGTCCCAGGTTGAGGTCCAGCGGTGCCCAGTGCGCTCAGACCCTTGCAGTTGAGGTCCACCGGTGCCCACTGCGTGCGGAAGTTGGCGAAGAGCTTGGCGAAGAGTTGGCAAGGCGGAAGTGAACATGGGAGTGGATGCAAAGGTGGTGGAGGAGAAGTTGGAGGAGAGGGGGGAGGAGGAGGAGGAGGTGGAGGATGAGGAGGAGGGGGCGGAGGAGGAGAACAATTGTGATAAAATCTAATAACCCTCACCTGGCAGGTGGGGAATAATCCCAGGCTACTGGACCAAGGTACCCAAGCCGAACAAGGAAACCATTTTATGAAACCCTATTTTTCAATAATGCTTAACCTTGAAAACCGAACTTCCTGTATTGTAAGGTGCTAGGTCCTTCTTGTATCTGTGGGGGCTCCCAAAACAAACCATTCAGAAACTAATGGGGACCAAATAGAGACCCGGCAAAACTTTCCAGGGGGTTCCCAGATTGCATATAGGAAGTTAATTCATCATTGCTGAAAAGGTTCAGCACTGGAGGGAATCAAAAATATATACAACCTCATGGGCTAGCTGCTGTTCACAGAATGGTGCCTATTCGCTTGGAACTGGTTTATCCAATCTCATGTTTAACCATATCATGGAGTGTTGGCAGTCCTTGCTCACCTATAAGTCAGTTCTGACATCGGTCCTTGCTCGCCTTTTCTTCTTGCTCACCTTCTCTTCTTGCTCACCTTCTTTTGTTGCTCTTGCCCAGTGCTCAAACATTGCAAGGGCTTTCAGCCATGATGGCACGGTTGGGCCGGAAAAGCCAGTCTGCCTGAAGCCACGGAGCGACATCCCCGTGGACTGTGGCAACTTCCATAGGAAGTTCTGCATTGTTCAACATGTAGAACGCCACACTGTTGTTCCCAGTCTCGCCGAAGTGCCCTTAGGCCTTGTTTGCCAAGATTGCAACCCCACAAGGTAGGTGATGTGCATCGCATTCTCGCACAACCAAGTTCAGTATTGATTTGGTTTGTCTGGCTGTGTCCTGTGGTTTCCAACCTTTGCCCAAGAAACTTTAGATTCTTGATATTTCTTGATTATAACCTACAGGATTCATAACAGGGAGTGTCAAAAAAATGAGACACCAATAAACCAGTGTTTTCCAATGAACCATTTCTCTATGAACCATTGTTGGTTAGAAGGATATTGAACAATCTTCCCACGGCTCCAAGACGCTGTGCTGCCGGGCCACTGCTGCAAGGAGCTGGGCTGTGTTGGCGCGGACCACCAGCAGCCAGCGCTTGTGGTGGATTGGGAGTGGTAGGAGGGGATATAGATGGATATAATAGCCTAACCCTAACCCTAGATCTAAACCCCAAATCTAATGATTTTGACCCTTAATCAATTGCAAAACTTTAGGGTGATGCCATTGGGATTTGCATCAAGTACAATTCGGCGAGTATGCCGCAGCACTCTTCAATGCGAGGCTTATTCACTGCAGGCTGGACAAGAGAGCGGTGACAAGCTACGTGGAGCATTGGCCGAACTGATGGGCCAACTTGACTCGATGAAAACATGGTTGGATGACAGCCGCAGCTGTATTCCACAACTGATGCTTTCAGACTGCAGGTCTTTAACAGACCA